GCCTTCGCAAGCAGAAGGCTAAACGAATCACCTAGTTCACAACTAAAAGGGAAAAAAATCACAGCGAAAAAAATCAACAACTGGAGTGTGTGTGTGTTCGACCGTCAATTTCAATGAAGTCCAGCAAGTGAATTTCAAAAGAACTCGCAACTCTAAAAAGAGTCAAATTACACTGTTTAAACTGGAACACACAGGTTCTTAGGGTAGAACATTTGACAAACACGTAAGTTGTCACAAATTGAGCAAAAGGAAGGGCTTATTTTCTATAAAATATGTTGCGATTTTTAGGGGTATCGAGAAATTTCGTACGACGTAAGGAGCCAGTCCCTGGCAGAAATGTTCTTCGCAGGCGACGAAAACGACACACCGACATTCTGATGTGGCGGATATCTGTCGGAATTATGCTGCATGCGCATAACTACTACAACTCTACCTGAGTAGTATACGTCAGGTTGCTAATTAGTGTTTCATAAGTTGCGACGAAGAGCCTGGAAACTGGAATGGCCGCCTGCAGCTTAATTGTATCGTCAATCAACCATAGACCAATTGCGAGCCGGGGGACGCGGGCTTTGCTCATTGGGCCAACGCTCTACCAAAGGCCTTACAAGGCCATTTTCTGCCGGCTGCTACTCGAGGTTGGCATTGGGCGGAATATGAAATATCATCCAACAGGGATTTAGACAAATAAAACTTCTACTAGGAGCTACGAAAAGGAGTAAAAGGTGCACATATACCGTGGAAAGAGATGCATGCTGAGGTTGGTCAGACGCCGAGCTGAAGAGAGAAGAGATTCATGTAGAAGCCAGGTCGGTCGAGAGGGCGTACGAAGGACGGCGACAGCGCCCTCAACGACGTCAGTCAAGGCATCACCAGACTTTGACCGGATGTCCAATTCATCAGATTTCATGACAATTTCAGACCAAACCTAAAACCAACGACAAAGGTGGATTACACTAGAGGCGATTCAAATGCTCCCTGCAACTTATTGCTATAGCGACAAAACTGCATGTGGGTATATACAACCAGTTATGTCAACGAAATTGACCTTCAACTGGGAAAATGTATGCGAGAAAAAAAACCGAGAAAAGAGCGTATCCGGAAGGAGTGCTCATCGGCATGATGAGCAGCCGCAAAAGCGCCATCAGCGACATAAACTTTTCAGCTCAATGTACTACTACTACTATTACTACTATTATGCTCACTACGGCCACCACTATCACAGTAACTAATACAACTGCTACAACCACACCTACTAGTATGATCACTACTAATACTATCGCTAATATCGCGACTACTACTACTGATACTATCATCATCAGTACTACTACTACTGCGGCCAATGCCACTACCTGCACATAGTCACCTGTGTGGGCTCAGGGTTTCGAATGGCTTTTTGATGGAAATCTACAACATCCAGCTGGAGGTGGCCCCAGAACTCACCGAAGAAACACCCAGTAATGATGCATCCGGTCCAAACCCCTCAAGCAGGCCTTGGGAATCCTCGCGGTTGTCTAGCATTCCTTTGTCTGCATTGGTTGCCTCCGGAAGGAGGGCGGAGAGAAACCGGTGAGCGAAGACGGAAGTCAGTTTATCCGTTTCGC